ACACACACACACACACACACACACACACACACACACACACACACACACACACACACACACACACACACACACACACACACTTACACTCACACACACACACCACGCACACACGACGACACACACACCTCTGCCGCCACCCCGCCGCCCCCGCCCCTTGCCATTGCTGCCACACCCTCCGCCGCACCACCCACGCCCCCGCCGCCCTCACCGCCGCCACGCCACTGCCGCCGCTACTGCGACAGCTTCGTAGCACATAGTCGCTGTCAGAAGAATTAATCATCGCTGGTTGATATCTTCATGAAGTCTACCGGCGGGGGACGGCGACAGACCCGGGAAAGCTCTGAATAATAACTGCCCATAACATCGATCTCCCTGTCCCCTCCCCCTCCTCCTCCTCCCCCGCCGCGGCAGCAGCAGCAGCAGCCTCATTCTCCTCTTATCCATCATAATCCAACTGCAGGAGACATTCCGCTATCTCTCCCCTCCTCTTCATCCTCCTCCCCCTCTCCCTTCCTCCTCCTCCTCCTCCTCCCCCTCTCCCCTCTTCCTCCTCCTCCTTCTCCTCCTCCCACTCTCTCTCCTCCTCCTCCTCCTCCCCCCCCTCTCCCCTCCTCCTCCCTCTCTCTCTCCTCCTCCTCCCTTCTCTCTCCCTCTTCCTCCGCCTCATCCCTTCCCCTCCTCCTCCCCTCTCCCTACTTCTCCTCCTCCTCTTCCCGGCTACAGCGAGCACACTCGGGGGAGAAGCCGGCGTTTCTTCTTGTTCTCGCTACACGTATCTCGTATCGCTAGGCGCGTATCTCGGCGAATCTCTTTGATGTCGTGACTTCGATCAATTAACGATAATTAAATCTTGTCGGCGATCGAGGGGAAAATGAATCCGCCACGTCGATGGGGAACTTATGTCGTCATGGTCGTCGGTGGCGGCGGTGGCGTCGTCATTGTCAATATTTTTGGCAGCAGCGGCGGCAGCGGCGGCGGCGCAGGCGTCATCGTCGCTGTAGTCGATTTCGTCGGTTTTGTTATTGGCGTCGTCGTCGTCGTCGTCGTCGTCTTCGTTGTCGTTATCGTTGTCGTTATCGTTGTTGTCGTTGTCTTCGGCAGAGTTCTGTCGTTTGCGAGATGTAAATGCGAGAAAAAACGCCTAGGGGGCGCTGGTGATGCAGAGAGGACGTGGTAAACAGATCTATGGGCGCCTCTCTCTCCCAGAAGACGCGCTCAGGAAATGATAGATATAAAAGTCCAATTTACCGCTCGCGAAAAAAACGCTATTTCAATTAAAAATCGAGGCTCGTCCGTTTTGCGTGCGTGCGTATTGGGACTGTTCATGTTTTTTTCCATCGCTTTTTTACATCTGAATAGTTCTAGCCGATACGAGTGTTTTGTTAGATAATTTGCACAAACACGGCTATTCATACTCTTGCTGCTCACGCATTTTTAAATGGCCGGCGTTGCAATTTACTACAGATGACAGACGCATTTTAGATGGAACTGTAATTAAAATATAAATTTTCATTTTAAATAACTACTGTAATTTATTAAATGCTGTAATTATGATTTCGACATATAGATGGCGATATGGTAAACAATTTTATAATTAATTGGTTAATTAATTAATTAATTAAATTTGTCAAAATGGTCTTCTCTGTTCATACAGCGAAATCAGTGTCAATTAAGTTCATCATCTATCATAAACGATTTTGTCTTAGGTCAATAATATGTTATACTACTTTTACTACTATTTTATACTATACTAATATAATCCCCGCTACTAAAAGCTTTACGATACTATTTTAACCATAGGCTCCCTGGTACTATTATAATTAAAGACTCTCTGTACTATTGCAAGTAGTACTAACTGGATACTATTCGGCACTAATAATTCTGTGGTACTAACACAAGTTTCGCACTAACATTAACCGCACTGTACGACCACTAACCGTGTAGTCGTCAGTCCGTCAGTAACCAGTGTGCATCAGATGTAAACCCTCTGTAAAAGCCCTCTGTAAAAGACTCTGTAACGATGTTTTTTAGAATCTCATCAGAGTGCCAACGAGCGACGACTGCTCAAGCATCTACTGGAGGACTACCAGCCGCTGGAGCGACCCGTCGTGAACGAGAGCGAGCCCGTGCGAGTATCGTTCGGCATAGACCTGCAACAGATCATCGACGTGGTAATGTCTCATAGTTATACCGCCACATAACCGTGAGGTATTACCACGTCTGTAACTGTAACTGTAACTGTAACAGTGACTGTGACTGTAGCGGTAACCGTGAGGTATTACCACGTCTGTAACTGTAACTGTAACTGTAACAGTGACTGTGACTGTAACTGTAACAGTGACTGTGACTGTAACTGTAACAGTGACTGTGACTGTAGCTGTCACAGTCACTGTTACAGTTACAGTCACAGTCACTGTTACAGTTACAGTTACAGTTACAGACGTGTTAATGCCTCACAGTTACCGCTACAGTCACAGTTAATGTTGCTATTAGAGTTAGAGTTACTGTTGGAGTCACAGACGTGGTAATGCCTCACAGTTATCGCTACATTCATAGTTACTGTTACTATTACAGACGTGGTACTGCATTGCAGATACCGCTACAGTTAAGTCACTGTTACTGTTAGAGTTACTGTTACTGTTACAGACGTGGTAATGCATTGCAGATACCGCTACAATTACAGTCACTGTTACTGTTAGAGTTACTGTTACTGTTACAGACGTGGTACTGCATTGGAGATACCGATACAGTTACAGTCACTGTTACTGTTAGAGTTACTGTTACCATTACAGACGTGGTACTGCATTGCATATACCGCTACAGTTACAGTCACTGTTACTGTTAGAGTTACTGTTACCGTTACAGACGTGGTACTGCATTGCAGATACCGCTACAGTTACAGTCACTGTTACTGTTAGAGTTCCTGTTACCATTACAGACGTGGTACTACATTGCAGATACCGCTACAGTTACAGTCACTGTTACTGTTAGAGTTACTGTTACCATTACAGACGTGGTACTACATTGCAGATACCGCTACAGTTACAGTCACTGTTACTGTTAGAGTTACTGTTACCGTTACAGACGTGTTAATGCTTCACAGATACAGTCACGGTCATTGTTACACAATGGGCTTGACTGTAGAGTTAACTATATAGCAAAGCCTGGGTCTGTTTACCCGCAGTTACTGTTACAGCCACAGTCATTGTGACACCGTGGGGTTGACTGTAATGTTAACTGTATAGCTGAAAGGGGGTCTAGTCGCCCGGGGTAATGGCTCCCAGTCAAAGCTACAGTCGTAGTGACTGTCAGAGTTACTGTTGCTGTTAGGGTTACAGTTACAGTTACAGTTACAGTTCTAGCGTAATAAACAAACTATCTAGTCTATCTACGTTAGGTTCACGTTTGCAATAAAATCAGTCCCAGCAGAATTTATACGGACAAGTACGGGTTCATGAAATCCGGGTAAACGTTACTGTATATGAATTCTGTCATTAATTGCATTGAAATTTATTATTTTAGATTATTGCGTGTGTGGCGTGTGCTGTGTGCGTATGTGCGTGTGCGTGGGAAGAGTGAAAAAGTAGAATTTTCTCGAGATTGTACGAATTCAACAGCTAATTTTGACAGCTAAATGGAATATACACACACACACACACACACACACACACACACACACACACACACACACACACACACACACACACACACACACACACACACACACACACACACACACACACACACACACACACACACACACACACACACACACACACACACACACACACACACACACACACACAC